CTTCCTGCCGCTGCCCCAAGGCCACATCGCTTAAACATTCTCTTGGCATGCTTCATCCCGCAGCCAACAGGCACCCCAAGGCCACACATCAATGGCTTCTTGTGGGCGTCCAAGCCTGCCGTTTGCCAGCCCTTAAACCCTTAAAACCCCTAAAACCCTTAAAACGCTTAAAAACCCTCAAAACCCTTAAAACCCTTAAAACCCTGCAAACTGTTGCAGAGCTTCTCTGAACGCCGAACCGCGCAGGCAATAGCGCTGCCCCAAGGCCACATCGCTTAAACATTCTCTTGGCATGCTTCATCCTGCAGCCAACAGGCACCCCAAGGCCACACATCAATGGCTTCTTATGGGCGTCCAAGCCTGCCGTTTGCCAGCCCCTTCCTGCCGCTGCCCCAAGGCCACATCGCTTAAACATTCTCTTGGCATGCTTCATCCCGCAGCCAACAGGCACCCCAAGGCCACACCTCAATGGCTTCTTATGGGCGTCCAAGCCTGCCGTTTGCCAGCCCTTAAACCCTTAAAACCCTTAAAACCCTTAAAACGCTTAAAAACCCTCAAAATCCTTAAAACCCTGAAAACCCTCCAAACTGTCCAAAAGCTTCTCGGAACGCCGAACCGCGCAGGCAATAGCGCTGCCCCAAGGCCACATCGCTTAAACATTCTCCTGGCATGCTTCATCCTGCAGCCAACAGGCGCCCCAAGGCCACACATCAACGGCTTCTTCTGGGCGTCCAAGCCTGCCGTTTGCCAGCCCTTAAACGCTTAAAATCCTTAAAACCCTTAAAACGCTTAAAAACCCTCAAAACCCTTAAAACCCTTAAAAGCGTGCAAACTGTGGAAAAGCTTCTCTGAACGCCGAACCGCGCAGGCAATAGCGCTGCCCCAAGGCCACATCGCTTAAACATTCTCTTGGCATGCTTCATCCTGCAGCCAACAGGCACCCCAAGGCCACACATCAATGGCTTCTTGTGGGCGTCCAAGCCTGCCGTTTGCCAGCCCCTAAAAGCTTAAAACCCTTAAAACGCTTAAAAACCCTCAAAACCCTTAAAACCCGTAAAACCCTGCAAACTGTGCAAAAGCTTCTCGGAACGCCGAGCCGCGCAGGCAATAGCGCTGCCCCAAGGCCACATCGCTTAAACATTCTCTTGACATGCTTCATCCTGCAGCCAACAGGCACCCCAAGGCCACACCTCAATGGCTTCTTATTGGAATGCACCCTTACAACTGTACAAAAGCTTCTCGGAACGTCGAACCGCGCAGGCAACAGCTGCCCCAAGGGCACATCCATCGCGTCGTCTGGGCGGTCCAGCCTGCCGTTCGCCCCCTCAAACGCGCATGTTACCAACCCCCCTATTAAGGAGGGGTCGGCGGCACCAGGGCGTTAGCCCATTCTATATTAGTAATGCTGGCTGTAAAACGCAGCCTTTCCTCCAATTGTATTCTACGATCAGTAAACTATGTAAACTGGGATTTAAAGAAACCAAAACATCCAGATATCTACATCTGCCGTGCATCAATATGAAAAAAATCAACTGTTCTTCTGCAGGCCTGATGATGTCTCAGTGTCATGTCGGTCCACTGCCATGGCAGGTACATATGCATGTCATGACGTTTGTGTTGCTGTTGTTGATAATCACGGGCCTCATGGGATACTTCGCTGCAACTCACTGAGTTATTTGCTGCTTACGGGAAACTATCCATTAGTTCCAGCATGTTCCAGCCCGAAGGGGTGCCATTTCAATGAGTGTTTGCAGCAATACTGAAGCGAAAAAGATTAGAAGAAGAACACGTCCAAAGCACTGTTCCTAGGCAGGCTGCCCTGGTGAAACAAAAAACATGCGGTCATTGCGTAATCTGCGGCCCAAACTGCTATGATTAAGTTTGTTCGAATCTTTTGGCTGCTTGCCTTCATGGAAATTAGATCATTTTATTATCCTCTCTCCAATTAGGGTGGTGGGGTTGGCGGCTGGGATTTTGTAGATACAAAGTGAAAAAGTGAGTGGGGGGCTCTACAAAATCACATGGGTCAAATCAGATCCTGCATTCACAAAATCCCAGCCTACGCCTACAACCCCATTTTTTCAGTGCACTTTTCCTTGGGATCCTCAAAAGTTGATAATGACCCCAGGATGCTGGCACTAGAGGCCGCAAGGTTTGTCCAATTGAAACCAAACCATTTGAAAAAACCACATATTTTATAATACTTCTCTGAGTGCTGTTGAAAAAATACAGAAAATGCAATTATCTTGTCCAAGTATTGAAATTTGAGTGGTGTAGAATGGTTTTTGTTTTTTTTGCCTCAGGTTTTGTTCCCCACCTGCCAGGTGAGGGTTGTTAGATTTTATGTCAGTTGCCTCCTCCTGCCTCGTCCTCCTCCTCCTCCTCCTCCTCTCCTCCTCGTCCTCCTCGTCCTCCTTGTCATCCTTGTCGTCCTTGTCGTCCTCGTCGTCCTCGTCGTCCTCGTCGTCCTCGTCGTCCTCGTCCAACTGCGACCCGCGATCCACAGTGTTCTCTGCCGGACCTCAACCACGACCATCCCCGCCCAGTGTTCCCTGCCGGACCTCAACCGCCAGTATCCACGCCAAGTGTTCCCTGCCGGACCTCAACCGCCAGTATCCACGCCAAGTGTTCCCTGCCGGACCTCATGTAGGAAGATATGGGACAAAGAATGTGCAGAAGAAAGTTAGAAAGAATGTCAGAAAGAATGTCAGAAGATATGCCAGAAGATATGCCAGATAGAATGGCAAATAGAATGCCAGATAGAATGCCAGAAGATATGTCAGAATATATGCCAGAAGATATGCCAGATAGAATGCCAGATTGAATGCCAGAAGATATGTCAGATAGAGTGCCAGAAGATATGCCAGATAGAATGCCAGAAGATTTGACAGATAGAATGCCAGAAGATATGCCAGAAGATATGCCAGATCATATGCCAGAAGATATGCCAGATAGAATGCCAAATAGAATGTCAGAAGATATGTCAGATAGAATGCCAGAAGATTTGCCAGTAAGAAAATGTATAAATGTCATGGTGGGGATCACACGAAGTAAAGTTTTTTTTTTTTGGTTTTCTTTCCCGATACCATTTGCCTTGTATTTGCAACAGTTTGATAGTAGAACCTGTCATTTTGCATGGCATTTGCTACATTTTGGCATGGTCATTTTGCATTTTGCATGGTATTTGCTACACTTGGCCATGTTTGCCTTCCATTCTGCATGGTATTTGTCATATGTTGGCATTTCAACCTCTCATTTGCATGGTATTTGCTACATTTTGCTGCTTCAAACGTTCATGTGGGTCTCTTGAGGGTTCTTTAGGCTTTCAATTTAGGGTTTCATTCAGGAGTTCATTTAAGCTTTCTTTAGGGCTTCATTCCAGGGTTTCTTATCAGGATTTCTTTTCACGATGTCTAAACGTTCAAGTGGGTTCCTTTAGGGTTCCTTTAGGGTTTCATTTAGGGTGTCCTTTAGGGTTTCTTTAGGGTTCATTTAGGGCTTCATGTAGGGTTTCTTATCAGGATTTCTTTAGGGTTTCTTTGGGTTTCACCTAGGGTCTCTCTATGGTTTCATTTAGGATACAAACAGGACAGAATAAAGCAAAAGAAAATGAAAAACAAAGAGACAGTAAAGACAGGAAGCAAAGAAGCAAAGGAGCAGGAAGTGGAGCAGCAAAAACACATGACTTAAGAAAAGCAAAAGTAGTAGAAGTAGAAAGGTGCAGAAGTACAAAAGCAGAGAAGCAGGGAAAACAGAGAAGCAGAAAAGCAAAGAAGCAGGAAAAGCAGAAAAGCAGAGAAGCAGAAACGCAGAGAAGCAGAAAAGCAGAGAAGCAGGAAAAGCAGAGAAGCAGAAAAGCAGAAAATCAGAGAAACAGGAAAGCATAGAACCAGGAACCCAAAAAAAAATCCAAAATCTGCCGCGAAAAAAATCCAAAAATAAATAGCCCTCCAAATTTGAGCCCTACAAGTTTTTAAAAGAGCGGGGCCCAAAAATGTAGCTAAAATGTGTTATTTTCAAATTGTCGGAATAGAAGATAAGATATGTTCTTTTCAAATCTTGTTACAAAGTATTCAAGTTTGAGCCCCATTAAAAACTATAATTTTGAGTGGGGCCCAAACATGAAGATAAAATATGTTCTTTTCAAACCTGGTGAAAGTCGAGAAAATATGTTCCCTTTGTGTGGCCCAGAGTTGAAAATAACACATGTTCTCTTCAAATTTTGTCGAAAAGTATTCAAGTTTGAGCCCCGCTAACAATTACAATTTTTGTGTGGACCAAGGTTGAAGGCAACATCTGTTCCTTTAAAATCTTGTCAGAAAATATTCAAGTTTGAGCCCCATTAAAAATTATAATTTTAGTGGGGCCCAAGGTCGAAGACAAAACATGTTATTTTCAATTGTCGCCGGAATATTGAAATTTGAGCCCCGGAGAAAATAGTATGTTTTGTGGGGACGAATCCCCGCACATGTCATGGGAATAACTTTAATATACTTTAATTCTTATGATGTATCATCTATGTCATGAAGCTTGAGATTCCTGCAGCTTGATCTTGTCGATTCATGCCACTTGATGTCATGCTCCATGCGGTTTCACAGAGATGTTCTGCACATCACCAACATACTGTGGATGGAAGAAATCCTGCACCAGTTGATAGATGGTCTATCATCTATCCCATTATTTATAGGGTTTCAACCATCCAAGGTGGTGCAGGATTTCTTCCATCCACAGTATCACCAATCCCAACAAGCAGCAGGTAGAAATACCGATTTTTCAGGTCGATTCCGCCTGGCGGACCTCCAGGTCACAGGGCCCTTGCGTGCGACTGGATCTCCACCTGAGCTGTACATGGCATCCGATGAGACCGGGCAAAATGACCAGGGTGAAACGGAAAATATTCGATGCAAAGTGAAAGTGGGCCATCATATTTCAATCTCAACTTGAGACTTTGTGCAAGGCCCGTGCACCAACTGTGCACACGGGAAGCAAGGAGTACCAAGCTACCCGTTGCCTCGCATGACACCATCCCAAGGCAACCACTGATTCCAGTACCGGGTGAAAAAGCCACACTGCCGGCACGCGTTGCTAATCCGACCGCGGCCTGATGCTTGGTTGTGATGGGCTTGGAGATCGAAGCAGTTTTCGTTGATCACCGGCCCACACCGACATCGGGGACACATGCGTGCGTTCGGGTATTGCCGCCTCAGGAATTCCGCGGACGCTCCTTCCTCTCGATGGGCAGCTTGCTGGCGTTCCAACTGCTGCTGCAGATGCAAGACCTGCACTAGGTGACGCACCACAAATTACTTGAAATGTTTGACAGCTTGAACACAAATCCTAGAACAGTCTGATTGACCTTCAAGACGGTCATGGTTCCAATCCCTATAGATGTTTGTTTTTTTCTCATTTTAACACATTGAAATCTTGAAACCTGCCTCCTCTTGAAACCTCTGGTTGTACTGTTGCCAAAGACGGTTTTCGGCGACAGCATCCTGCGCAGCCCTGTATCCCACAAAAACCTCATCCGGCAGGGCCCTAGCCAAGGCTTGGTCCGTGTAGTGAGCCGCGCATGGGTCTTGGAATGCTGGGTTGGCATGCACGCACGGAACCAGCCCGCCCCTAGTGCGATGATCTTCCAGCATGGCGTCACTGGCACTCACACGCTCCAGAAAGCTAGTGACCATTTGCGGGCTGCAATCGGCACAAACGAAGTGCTGATTGGGACATGACAAGCTGCCCTCTGCAGAGGCTTCGTCGAAGCACAGCTCGCAGGTCATGTTGGCAGCGGCTGCGCGTTCTGCTTCTGCGACTTGCTGCAGGCGCAAACGCCGCAGTTCCGCCGCCATCTCCTCCACTTCCGCTCTCAAAGCTGAAGCTTCGGATTCGGCGCTGCTCGCAGCTTCACGGGCTTGCCGCAGCAAAGGCATCAGTCGAATCCTCTTGGAGAAGCGCTGCACACTGGCAGCTGCCATGGCCGAGAGTTTCTTCAAAATCTCCTCATCTGGGCCAGTCGCTGGTAGCCGCTGATCGCGGTTCTGGGCTATCTGCTCCTCATCTGCTTCTTCAATCATCTCCGAAAAGTCGTCATCAAACTCCGTTTTGCCCGTGATCAGCTGCAAAATCGTGACACCGATGGAATAGACCTCCGACTTCTCGTTGAACTTGCCTTTCCATAGGGGGTCTACTGCAACGACGAGCAGAAAAACAATTTTAAGATCAAAACAAAATTCGCATCTGTCTGACTACAATGCCCTTTGACTGTGGCAAATATTGAGGCTAAAGAATATGCAGGTGTGGGACTGCTCTGGAGATTGTTCCGGGTGTGACAACTCCAGGACCAAATGGACCCAGATCAACCAAGCCACCTGTCTCCACGTATCGTTTGCACATAAAGCCAGGAGTCCCTGCTGGGCCCGCGCCCTGTGTGAGCTGCATGGTCATTCGGCTCTGCCCTGGTCGGTCTTGGGGCAAAAAGCGCGACAGGCCGCAGTCGCCCAGTTTCGGCACAAACGATGCGGTCAACATGACGTTGCCCGGCTTGATGTCCCGGTGATAGCAGGGCCCCTGGGGATTGTGGTGATGTAAGAAGCTCACCGCCACCAGCAAACCGGCCACGATGCTACTTCGGCGTCCGCAGCCTGCTGAGCTTTCTGGTCGTTCATCAAATGTGCGTCCAAGCTGCCCTGCGGCTGAAACTCATAGACCAAGACGGCACCATCTCTGTGAAGACAATGTCCCAGCAGGGGTATGATGTTGGGATGGATGAAGTTGGTTAGGACCCAAGCCCCCGCATGGTAAGTTGGCTTGGCCGTGTCTTCGGTTGGAAAAAGAAACTGATTCTGAAACCTTTTGTATGTCTGAGTGAAAAAGACTCAGCAAAGCTGCAAGCATAGGAAACCTCAAACCCGTAAGCACTAACCACTTGCGATTTAGCTCCTGGTTACAACAAGTTCAAAAAACATGTTCCTAAAGACGGCATCTTTGAAGAATCGCTGAGTCGGCTAAGTGAAAGACTCGTATTTCAGCCGTCGTCATCCTTTCCAGGTATTCTCGCTGCTGTGCATCTTGGCATTCCAAACGCTTTGCTGCGAACTCTACGGCGTTGTCAGGGTCTACTCCACGGTAAACTGTGCCGTATGCACCTGCACCAAGGACCCTGGCTGCTGCGAAGTGCTGGGTGCATCTGGCGATGTAATTGTAGTCCGAGAAGTTCGGAGCTGGCGCTGGCGGTTGAGCTGGTGGGGCTGGTGAGGCTGGTGCTGCCTTCGCTGCCGCCTTGGCAGCTGCTTTCGCTGCTGCTTGGGGATGAGACGGTTGCGGGCCAGGCACGGCTGGGGCAGCCTGAGCTAGGGCTGCGGGTGCTGGATATCCACGAGCTTCGGACTCAGAGAGGGCGATCGCCAGCTGAAGGTCCTCTTCTTCTCTGGACCTCTCCGCTAATGCGCGATTTTCCACAGGACACCGGGTATGGTGTGGTATAATTGATCCGTTTTTATATCTAAAATGCTATAAAAGAATGTAAGACTTCATGGCTTTCAGACTACGCGCACAAGAAGAATATAGAAGAATCCAGGTGTTGTGAAAGACTGGTCTGCCCACACACACCCCGACCAAATCACAAACAAGCCACCATTTGGCCACTCTAAAATATGGTGAATAAATTCAATTGTGGACCATTTCAATTCATTTTTTCAGAAAACTCCCAAGACATCACACGCGATGTAAAGACTGCATCGAACAAAGGATGGCTGCGCCGCCTGGGAGGGAAGCTCAGTGGGTTCCCATGTGGCTCACCACGTGCATCCGGCCGAGCCTGCAGGGCGTCAGATTGGAAGCTGCTTAGGAAAGTTTGTACCCTACAGCCTCTAGCCATTCCCTTCTCCAGTCAGCTCGTTCTAAGTGAACCCTCACTTATTTCTGACAATGGGCAATTTCCCATTATCACACCTATAGCTTCTCTTTATGCTGCAGGGATATGAAAGTACAAGAGGAAGTTTGTCGTCCAGCCACTGATCCATTGCCCGGAACATAATAGTTCGATCCTTCAACACATTCCCCATGCTCTTTCTTAAAAGAACCAGCATTTTAAATCATGTTAAAGTACTAACTTCTACTGACACGCTAGACAAAGAATCCTCGATTCCCCAAATGATTTATCTTTTCTGCGAGTGAAACATGCCCTCCTCCAATGTGTGAAGTGGCCGCTGCCCGCGTCTCCCCACCTGCTGTGCTGCAGCTTGCCCCTTTCCCCTCGCCTTTCCCCTCGCACTATGCTGGTCCCGCTCCTCGGCCGCTGCGTGATGTCATGGGGGTATATATAAAGCTAAAATTGGCCCCGGTGCAATCTAAAAGCAAGGGAAATTCTCCCATAAAAACATATCAAAACACGGACATGGTGACGTACCTGTAAACTCATCACAAAGTAATGCTCACGGCATCTCTTGGAGAAACGCCCCTTTAGGAAATAACGCCCCTCCAAGAGATTCCTTGCTCCACCGTGCTTTTTCATTCTGGACCCCCTGAGGCCGCTTTGTTTTCAAGCTAGGGTCTTTAGCAGGCATTCTGAGCCGGAGCACCAATATCTTTCAAATGAAAGGGGTAACTGCAGCGTGACGTTGGAACCGGTGGAAGTTGGTTTTCCAACGCATGCCTTTCAAAGCAAGAAGTTTCATCTCACAAGCATGTGTTACAAATCAATACACTTTGCAAGACGTGTTTCAAACTTCGACACGGAAAAAGACACCCACTGGACTAGAAAAGATTTCGATTGGACCAAAGGGCGTCTGTTTTTCTGGCCAAAGGGGCTCGTTGATGCTGTGTTTCCCCACTCAAACCTCCACTTATTTGAGCAAGATGGTGCTGAAGAATGGTGCATGGAATCACTTGCTAAGTGTCGCCCCGGAATGAGCCCAAGCAATTCTGAGCAATGCAATTCACATCACAGCAACTGAGCGCAGGGTGGCATGGTGTACCCTGATGTGGCCACCCGCATGAAGGAACTAAAAGAAACAAAAGAGAAGACGCAAACTGCAAAAATGTCCATATGCATCCATATGTGTCCATATGCATCCATATATGCGAGTAAAGACGCCCATTTTCAGAAAAGACACCCAACGGACACTTACTGTATATTAGCGCCTTTCAAGGATACAGGTATGGACACAACAGGACAGAACCAAAAGGAATGCGGAGACTTCAATGTAGAATGATCAGAATGGGGGTCCCAACCATGAAGGCGTGTCGGTCCTGTCATGTTCCTTAATCTGTCCAACTGGCCCAGGAGACGAGTTGTAACAGTTCCAATCAGAACGATCCTGAAATCAACCGTATGGTTCGACTGGTCGAAGTGGCTCGACTGCAACTGGGGTACACATCTCAATAGAGCCACCTGGTCGAACTTACATTGTCTGTTTCATGTCACCATTGCCACATATCGCTACCCATTACTTATGCAGCATCAAAGTTCCACAACTTATTCGTGCTGGAATGAACCACTCTCAGTACTAGGCGATGCTTGGCGAATGGTTAATAAAAGCATGATTCTTTGCTCAGTAAGGTGGACACCTAGTTTGCAAGCCATCTAATATTTCCAATCATTTCCGATCCAAAGAACAGCTATAGATTATATAGCAACTGACGCCTAACCCATGAGCTGCAGCAGGTTGGAGAGAGATTTCAGGAATCCATGCCTCTGCATGTGATTATGCGATATGATGCGCACGTCTCAAATTCACCGAGGCGGTCTTGTGAACAGATGTCTGCGAGAGGGACCTGTTCTTATCGTCACAGCCAAGATTCAGCGTCCTCAAGGAGCCTCACGACTTCGGCGTGGCGCAGTCGTCTTGCAAGATCCAAGGGCGTCTGGCCTGAGCGCTCCCAAGGCATGTGAAAGCTGAAGCCGTAACTTCTGTAGGTGTCCAGTCGCAATGCCCGGAACCAGATTGAAGAATTGATTTACAAAGCCTTTGTGCGCTTCATGTGCACAACCCCGAAATGTTTGAGATCAACATGTAGAGACTCTTGCCTTAATCTATGAACTTACCCCACCGCATGGCACACCGCTTACCCCACGACCCCAAGAACTTACGCCATGTGCAAATCACCATGGCACATCGGCCCTCACGGACAGGTTTTTGGATTGGTTTGTTATTTTCCTAAGGGATTTGGTACATTTTACATCAGTTCGTAAATTCTTTGACCTCACCCCAAATGTCAAGGAACGCATGGCACACCTACAAATTGTTTTCTATCAACCCAAGTTCTCGGATGTAATTCCCATTGTCGGAACAACATATTTAATCTCTAAGAATGTCATCCATGATTGTTTTCCCCATTGGCACACCGAGTACATCCAAGTACTCAGGTAACAGTTTTCTTTTCTGCAGCCGATCACTTTGCCGATCCATGTATGTGCACATTGTTTTCATGAAGTTCCTATGCGGACTGCAACGCTTTGTACCGTTTATCTGTCTTAAACCTGACACAAAGCGTTGTAAACCGCATGGCACACCATCAACTTGACCTCTAGAAGACCAGGGGTTCTACATGTCATTCTCATTGCGCTATTTTTACGAGATCCTTACGAGGTCTTTACGAGATCTGTACGAGATCTGGATTTTGCACGGCAAGGCAGCAGGGCAAGGCAGCAGGGATCTTTTCTACTCTTCCCTTCTCTGCTCTAGGCCCCTCTAATCACTTCTACTCTTCAATTCGATTCTCTTCTCTACTCTTCTGTATAGTCCCTTCTACTCTACTCTTCTCTTCTACTGTTCTCTCTTCTGTGCGAGTCAAGCTATTGAGAAGCCATCCCCATGAGTTTCTATCTCAAGAAGAATATGTCTCAAAAACATGTGTGCCCCTGTAAAGTGTTAGAAAAATCAATGCCACAAACAATTGATTCATCCAGCAAGAATGACATGTATATCATGGACTTCCCAACGGCACACCGTTTGCGGCACAAGAAGATGACCGCGGCATAAGTTACCACTTTGACCCAGTGCCTTTTTAAAGCCTTAAAACATACCAAGCTCATCAAAACCACCGTACCGTTTACATTTCACAACCGCCCAAGTCTCAACCTTGCACAAACAAAACTGCCACCATAAAGTAATAAGTATAGTAATACAATAGAATCAGATAAGAAAGCAAAAGCCATCAAAAGCCCATCACATCTCGCAGTCGAGGCCCCCAGCCTTGGTTGTCTTTCACAGTCACGGAGGCTTTCGCCTCGAGGAGCAGCTTCACCACCTCCGCACGGCCGGTGGTCGCCGCCCAGTGCAGCGGGGTGCGACCTCGGGCGAGCGACTGCTCCCAGAAATGTGAAAAATGGAGCAATCCATGAACGTGCCAAGTCTCCGAGAAGCTGCACATCCATGGCTCCATCAGGAGCCCCCAAGTTCAAATCTTTTCATGATTCAGAATTATAGTTGTTTGAATTCGGTGATATCTGTTGTTTTTTGCGAATCCTGACCATGTGATGTGGTTGTTGATGTAAATGATTTCAACTGGAAACTGCCTCTTTAAAAGCCTTACAAAACCTACCAAACCCACCAAACCCACCCTACCATTTAGCATGTCACATCATTTCACTTCATTTCACATGTTGACTTCGAATTTTTTTGGCACCTTGAAATCTCCCCCAAGCACCGTGCATCCATCTCTTCAGGGCCGAGAGGCCTTCGTCAGTCCTGGCGTCGACCTCGGCCCCCGCTGCCAGCAGCACCCGGCAGATCTCCGCGTGGCCGAACTCCGCCGCCCCGTGCAGCGCGGTGCGGCCGTAGGAGTCCTTCGAGGCCACGGCGCCGGGCACCGTCCGCAGGAGGTGCCGGACCTCGCCGAGGTGACCGAGGCAGGCCGCCGTGACGATGTCGTCGCGGCCTCGGAGGGCCACGGGCCGCCCCGGGAGGGCCCCGGCAGGGCCGCGAACCCGATTCCTTTGGTCGGGATCAGATGGAAATCACACGAAATCATCTTTGGGAAAATGTTTTGAGATGTCTTGAGGACATGAAAATGGTGACACTTTGTCAACTTTGGATTTGACATGATTTTAAGACAATCCAAGGCTTTCATCATGATCTCCCCTTGTTAGCTTTCATGCAAGCACACAGGAATTGGAATGGACCACTAAGTGTCTCAGCCTAGTTGCACCCAAGGTGTGTACTCAATCGACATAGTCAATGTTATTGCGCATGGGTCATGAGATTTACGTGTTTTACCATCTCATCATCTCAAAATCATGACTGATCATGAATGCATGTGCTGTATTATTATAATAATTTGCCTATAATACACAAATATTAGTCAATTCGTCTTATAAGCACCTCACTGTGACTGTACATATGTACGTTTGCGTGCATGCACACATGTCAGCTGATGTACTGTTATTGCATTGTCATGGTATTGTGTTGTCTCGCATGGTATGGATTTTGATGACCTGTGCTGGCATCAAGTGATGATCATTCGTGACACGCAAACATTTTAAGTCTTGGAATCTTAAGATCTCATTGAATTGATCCACTTGCACGTCCCAAATGAAGCCATATGCGAACCTATCTTTATGTTTGACCCTGCTCTATCATTCCCTCATCTCAACCCGATGATCGCCAGAATCTCAACCTTTCAGATCTCTCCAAGAGCCTGACATTGTCGAGCTTCCTCTGCATCGGCTCGTTCTTGGGCCTGCTGCTCAACATTCATCCACTTGACGGACACAAATCAACAATTCACTTTCCTTCAATTCCAAATCCCACTGTACTGAATGAATTAAGAAATCGTCCCTCAATTCCACCGCAAATTCCCCATCTCTCAGTTTCAAATCTTCATCCAGCACCTGTGACATTCTGGTCGAAGGCTGCGAGGACCGAAGTCTCGTTG